ACGGCGTAATAATTCTGCCATGTGGAAGCACAGTTAGCTCGTTTGGCAGCTCGAAATAGGTGTTTTTTCTTATTATTTATTCGTTTGAGGGATACATTGAACCATGGGGAATTTATTTTCCCTGTTATTGTGATGGTAGGAATATAAATACGTATAAGACGATGCATCTCTGCTTTGAGAAGCAACCAATTCGACTCGAGAGAATTTAGCGGAAAATTAGCGAAAAAAGTGTCAAAGTAATCTGTTAATTCTCGGTTTATGCTAACGTAGTCTCCTTTATCGTAGAGGGTAAGTGTTTTTCGATTTTTTTGTTTCTTTAGTACGTTGCAATAAAACGAGGCATGCACTGTTAGATGATCACTCAAGCCGCGCAAAAGGGTGATAGGCATGAAGTTATCAGGATGCGTTGTTAACACAAGGCCCAAAACGTTGGACGAGTGATCAGTGATGCGCAGGGATCAGTGACGAGCTGCGTTAAGCCGAATGTTATGCATGTGTTTAGGAAATCGCCTGCCGAGCTGCTGTTAGATAGTAAAGAAGCGGGATCAGACCAGTCAATGGAGGGAAAATTAAAATCGCCGAACAAAAGGACAGGGCTATTAGGGTACTTGTTTAATAATGTGTTCAGACCTTCATGAAATAAAGGCATGAATGAACTGTCGGAATTAGGGGGCCGATAGCAGACACCAACGAGGATGTGCGGGTGTGTGGCTGTGCATCGAAGCCAAACCATTTACAATGGTGAAGGAAGGTTTACAAGTGAACAATGCAGATTCCGGTTAGGGGCGATTAATACACCGCCACCGCGCAAGTAATCGGCTCTATCTTTCCGGAATATGTCAAAGTGTGAAAGAAAGGGGAGAATCTCGGAATTATCGACGGATGTGTTAAGCCACGTTTCTGTTAATAGTAAGACATCGCATGAAGATGAGCCTATTAAGCTGCACAGTGCATCGCGTTTGGGGTTTACACTACGAATGTTAGCCAGTAAAAATGAGAGGGGCTGATTCCGTGAAGAAGGTTTATTTCGAGATCTCAATGATGGCTATTGGCGTTCTTCAACTACCCTATTAGTAATGTGGTCGTAATAGTAGGTTTTATCATTCGTGATAAGCTTTTCATGACGTAACCTGTATCGCATGTTCTGGGCCCTTCCGTATTCGGAGAGGCAATTATGGGCAAGGCGCGTGCTGGGGGAGAGGTCTTGTGCGACAGCATAGCCTGTATCTTTGGATTTGCACCCCGAAGACAAGATGCGCTCTTTATCTTTAAAGTGAGCGAATTTCACGATTATAGGCCTGCGTTTCCCAGTTTGGTAAGACCCGATGCGGTGTGCACGCTCGATATCGCGCGGTTCTACCTGTATGTCTAGGATTTGTTTACAATGCTCGATGACAATTTTTTTGGAATCAAGCCATGTTTCCTTAGGTTTATCTTCTATGCCATAGAAAACAAGGTTATTTCTTCTAGATCTATTTTCAGCCTCATTCATCCGGGTAGACAGTGCATTTATCTGTGCCGTATTTTCGGTACATGTCTCATTCACTTTAACTAATTCAGCCTGCATGTCCTCGATACTAGCACAAGATGTCTCGATTTTGTCGAGCCGTGCTTTAATTTCACTGAAAGTTTTATCATGATCAGCCAATTTCTTTTCAATTTACTTTAGCTGCGCCAGCATCACCTGCCCGGATTGCAGTTCATTCAAAACTTTCAGAATTTCTTTGTCGGGGCCGGGATTAGATTCAACATCACCAGCTAGCAAGACAAGGCTTAGTAACATATGAGAACAATCACTCACAATGGAACAAAAACGCCGTGGGCCCGGCAGCACCAGGAGTGCTCGGTGACTAGTTGGTTTTGCGTAAAGGCAATGAGTTCGTTACCTGCACCAGGAAGAAGCGAGGAACGTTAGCACGGGCCATCGTTAGCGTGCTGCCGGACCCACTGAAAGGAGTGTTGCTCTGAGCTCGCTTTTTAATCAAATCCCACGCATGCGTGGAATGTGCAGGGGAGGTTCCGGTGTTCAAATGGCCGACTGAAAGCCAGGATGCTTGTTGATACGGTCGACAGTCGGGCACGAAGTGCGCAGACCGAGATGCTCCAAAGACAGGTTGATTTGAGGACCAGAACAGTCCTACCGCATGATCCTCGGGCAGCAGAGGCGTCGCGTCCGGCCATGGCCTAACAGCAGATGGTGGGAACGGGGTACGGGGGCCGGAATGCTCCAGTAGCTGCAAACTCCAGAGTTCGAGAAACTGCACCAGGAAGAAGCGAGGAACGTTAGCACGGGCCATCGTTAGCGTGCTGCCGGACCCACTGAAAGGAGTGTTGCTCTGAGCTTGCTTTTTAACCAAATCCCACGCATGCGTGGAATGTGCAGGGGAGGTTCCGGTGTTCAAATGGCCGACTGAAAGCCACGATGCTTGTTGATACGGTCGACGGCCAGGCACGAAGTGCGCAGACCGAGATGCTCCGAAGACAGGTTGATTTGAGGACCAGAACAGTCCTACCGCATGATCCTCGGGCAGCGGAGGCGTCGCGTCCGGCCATGGCCTAACAGCAGATGGTGGGAACAGGGTACGGGGGCCGGAAGGCTCCAGTAGCTATAAACTCCAGAGTCCGAGAAACTGCACCAGGAAGAAGCGAGGAAATTTAGCCTGGGCCATCGTTAGCGTGCTGCCGGACCCACTCACCCACCCACCCACTCAGGTTAAGGGTTCATTAAGGGTCGTGAGTTGCCATTATCCAACATCACCACCGCAACACACAATATCAGCTGTTGAAACAGGTGCATAATCAACCCACTGTGCGTTGGCGGGCTAGTTGGTTTATCATGTTATGTTTGAACAGTGTAACTGGATGCTGACAGAGCGGAACACTCTAAAACACACACACCGCTGTGTGTATGTTTGAGCATGTTTGTTGTGTTATCGTGTTTGTGCATAGGGGGCTGACGCAGACGCGCTTCGCTATCAGTGGTGACCCGAACTCGGACTGTTGGGCTTCGTGACGTCAATGCTCGGTGTGATAGTGGCTTGATCATGTATATAAGCAACCGCCCCTTTTTCTTCCTGGTTGTAAAACAGTTGGTTGTGTGACCGAATAAACATGTGTTGCACTTAGCTACCGTGTGCTGCCTGCCGGTCTCGCCCCTGTTTAGACGAAGATATAATATTCTTTTCCACCAGCATCCAGTCGCTCTTTTCTAACTTCAACTAGACATTCTACCCAGTGCGCAGCTGAAGTACTCAACACATCACAACGAGAGATTTAGTTAGCCGATGCGATCAATGCGATGTCTCAGTGTTGACTAAACAAGATGGCCCTTCATGAACTGTGGCGCTGCGGGCAGTGGCAATGGCGACAACAGTGCGGTCCGACAGTGGTCTTGACGATCTTGGTGCATGGAAAATTGCCAATTTTACTGAAAAATTACGGTCGCTTCAAGGCTTCTCGAATGAAAAACTTGTAATTAACCAACATTACAGGCTTTTAACTTCAGATTATCGAGCATTTTTTTTCATAGGCGTGCATGGCAAACTTATGGAACCACTTGTTGACTTCCATGTAACCGAAAATTCTAATTTGAGTGACTTCAAAATATTAGGAGTACACTGTAGTATATATCACGTGTTTTAAAGGAAAATGCACATATTTGTCATGACCTAACTAACCTGCATAATATACAGTAAAACCTCATTAATCTAAACCTATTTATTTTGAAATTCTGCTTAATTTGAAGGATTTCTGTGGTCTCCTATCTTGCAATGTAAGTATGATTGGATTATTTGAAGCGGCAGGCCAGCACCAGTCTGGTTAATTCGAAAAATTTGGGTGCCATGTGCCAGTTACAGATCCCCATTTTGCCCCAAATCCGCAGAAAAAACAACTCTTAATGGCCATAAGGCAATGCAACGTAGCGATACTAATGAGTGGCAGCTGAAGCACTCCGTTCTCGCTACTTCCCGCGGAGGGGTCTTGTGGTCATTCAAAACGTGCGCTCACGAAAAACGTGATATGCTTCACTGCAATACAGCGATGACGCGCGGGCAGCATATTGTGTGTTTCTTGCAACGCCAGCGGGTCATGGTTTACCTATTCTTCCTTGGATTGTAAAGTAATTAATAAAGAACAGTTTGGCGAAATTCGCATTGTATGCGAACTTCCGATTCGATTGCCGATTGCTCCAGCAATCCGCGCCTTTGCACTGCTGGCAGAGTTCTTGCCAGTAACTTCTAGTTTTTGTAAACTAAGTCCGATAGTTTCAAGGATCATTTTTTTTCATCCAGAACACGTCGGGAGTTTCGTCATACTGGCCATTATTAAATTCGTAATTATACCAGAAATAATGTGCGAATGGTTGCATCATGACGTGATGACGCAGCAAGGAGCAGGCAACATGCTGCCCCCGTGTCACTATTGTGTTGCAGTGAAGACGCCTTGTTTTCAGCAGGCGCACATTTTAATTGATGACAGTGTTGTTTCCTTTTTTTTTCTTCTGTGGCAGGAGCGAAGCCCACCATACCCCTGTATTTGTGGCAAAATTATGACTCCAGATATTGCTGTAAACGTAACTCTCGGAGTCGCAAGCTAGCCGGCACAGTTAATGATGAGCACTGATTGCTTTTAATGGTTCTAAGCTCTTTGCATCCCACTTTTTGAACTTTCTGTAAACCAAAAACCTGCTTAATTCGAAAATTTCTCGTGGCCCCAGTGACTTCGAATCAACAAGGTTTTACTATATAGATATAAACATGTTCAAATATCATTCTTTTTGGTTTAAAGAAAGTGGAAACAACATTGAATTGTCTGGTAGAATGCAAATGATAACGTGTAAAATGTGTTAAGTATTAATAATAACTTAATCGGAGCATATAAGCCGGTATAAAAAGCTTTTAAACGTTAGAAATGATGAGGTGATGCTGAGGGTGATGACCTGTGGATTCAGTAAATAATTGAGTAACATAATTTTTTATTCATTTCTTCTGTCTTTTCAGTTCTCATCAGTTAAAAACGAGCTTAGAAGAAAGATTCAAGAAGAGGAAGGGAGGATCGAAAGGTGAGAAACTTGGTAAAATCTGCTTTTCAACATGGAATTTTCATGCTGCGCATTTATTGTCCCTAAGAGGCCTTTTATTTGGCTTTTAAATATTCAGAAGTAAGAGACATGTTCAGAACATTGGCAGCTTTGCTGCTCTTTCGCGACCCTGTCAGCCAGTATTAGCATAACTACATATTATTGATGCCTTGCAATACGGCTTCATTAGGCATCCAGCTGTTGTCATGTGCAACGACAGGGGTGGTTCGTCACGTTTGCCCGTGCATGGTCAAGGAAATGAACGGTATGAGATGATGTAGGAGTAGATCTTGAACAACATTTATAAGAACAAGGGATTCGATCGACTATCACAAAGACAAGCACGGAAGTACTCACTTACACTGCCTAAAGTTCAAGCGGCTACTGTCCAATCTACGTGGCTACACGATAACTCACAGTTGGTTGCCCGAGGAGGCGACAGTCCAAGCATGGCAATGCCCCTTGTCCGTAGCGAGCTCAGGCATGCAAATGGCACGTGCGGTCGCAGCAGGAGACAAGGCCTCCGTTGGGCCTCGCGTTCGTAGACGGCTTTCAGCCGTCTCAGGTGGCAGCGGCGATCCGGAACCCGTCGTCCCTGTCGCGCATGCCGACGTAGCAGAAGCCGCACCCGTTGTCAATTGCCCCGGACTGGTACCTCTGCTCCCGGACCTCGATCCCCAGGGAACAGGCAGGAGGAGCTCCACGAACAGGGCCTGGTCCGGCATGTCCCAGCTGGAGCCGCCGTCAAGACCACCAGGCGAGCACTAAGCCCTCTGTTAGCGCGCCACAAAAACCTCCAAGGACAGCGCCCTGGTCCGGCATGTCCTTCAGCTAGGTCTTGATTGACTCTCTGCGCGTTCCCTCTTCTTTCTCTTTTTTTCCTCTTGTGCGACCTGTCGCCACCTGTCGCTGGCTCGGCTTCTTGTCCTCGTCCTTCTTTTTCTCGGACGCCTGCACAAACATTTCCAAATTCCACCAAAGTTCACACGCACTTGCGTTTAGCCCCGAAATTTCGTTCATTCATTACATCATGGCAGTCTTCTTGAGATCGGTCTTTCGTGTAGGGGGAGAGACCTAGGCGATGGTCGTCCATGGAGCTTTACCTGCAGAGGAATGGCACTTCTGTTTTTGTCATTTTGTGACAGTCTGGTGAAACAGGCAGCATGGTCACTGTTAATTACATTGTACTATATTGCCTTGTAGTATATGTGTGTTGTTTCAGGCAGTTAAATTCCAGCAGCACAAATGTCATCGCTGCGAAATAGATAGCAAGGAATTCTGTGGAGCTCACAGCTACTGCTGTCACCGACTTCTCTAGTTTCAAAGTCAGTAGTCCTAAAAAATAGTCTGTCCATACTAGAGAGTACCTTTCCAATTGAATATCAAATCGAATTTTGTTTTGTTTTGACTTCCAATCATCAGAGATCTAAAGTTGTGTTTTGGGCAAGAAAAGATTTGCTTTGCTCAATATTTCGTGCCTAAGTTCTCAGCAAGGTCCTTGAAAATTTATTGACTTCTCAGGTTGTGACTACAGATTAATATAAAGAAAAATGGGGAAGTGCATATCTCTACAGGACGTGCCACACACACACACATACAAAGTACAGTGGACTTTCACTAAATGGCACCTGAAGTGAGTGAGTGAACAACTTTATTCACTTCCTGTAGGTTACCGGGCTGGGTTCCCACCTAGAAGCTGGTTGAGAGACCATGTCTCTCAGCAGCTTCTTTGGCCTGCTGAATCGCCCAGAGTTGATTATCTAGTCCTGAGCTGAGCAGCGTGGTCCGCCAACGCTCCCGTAGGTCCTCATTGGAGGCCGCGTCTCTCGTTTTGCCAATTAGTGCTGGACACTACCAGAGAATATGCGCTAATGTGGCCGTATTACTACAATACTTGCACGAATTGGTCATATACAAGTCGGGGTAAATGTGTTTCATAATTACGGGATTATTGTAGGTGCTTGTTTGTAATTGCTGCCATTGAACGGACTGGGCCCGGTTGAGCTTGGGGTGAGGCAGGGAGTATTCCTGTCGTGAAGTCTATATTCTTGGATAAAGTCGTTGAATTCGGTAAGTTCATCCTCCCACTCCTCCACAAGAGAGTCCGTACGGGCGGTGTCAACCACTGACGTTGCCTGGAACGCGAGACCTCGAGCCACGTCGTGCGCCACCTCGTTAAAATTGACGTCCGTGTGATCGACAGGTGTGTGGGCAAGAAACCAGAGAAGGCATGCAATTTGGTCGTCAGAGCGGGTTTCGCCTGTTGTAAGTATTTTCAGCGCCACTGGAGAAATCCTACCATTTGCGAAATTTCGGACTGCTGTTTGTGAATCACTGATAATATACTGGGCATCGGTGTGAGCTATGGCGAGCGCGATAGCGATTTAATCTGCTGTATCCACGTGATTTGTATTGATTGAATCGCTGGTTATGCATTTGTGCGTATGGCATACAACCGCAGAAACAAAACGGCGATAGTTTTGATAGCGCGCTGCATCGGCGAAGATTGCCTCCTTATTGCTTCCATAAGTTCGGAGCATAATTTTGGCTCTACTGATTATTCTACCTTTGTTGTGGTCAGGGTGCATGTTCTTTGGCAATGGTGGTATCATGAGTTTAGTGCGGACTTCGCGTGGTATGTTGCATTTCATACCATGCTGTGCGCAGTAAGAAATGCCGAGACTGTCGAGAATTTGGCGATCTGCTTTCGTATTGCTCAAGTGCTCGTACTGCGAGATCTGTTGCGCTTCAATTATTTCTTCAACCGTGTTATGAAGGCCTAGTTTAAAAAGGTGTTCCTGTGCTGGTACTGTGCCGAAGCCCTAGCGCCTGTTTGTAAACTCATCTGATGAGTGCGTTGAGTTTAGCTCTTTCCGCCTGCGAACCATCGATGGTAGGCAGCGACATAAGTAATGTGGCTGAGCACGGAAGAGTGGATAGCGAATACTACATTCCTTCATGCCTCTGATGTTTATTACTTATTCTTTTAATGAGTCGCATCGTTTATGCAACTTTGGCTTCTAATTTGCAGATTGTCTCACCATTTGTGCCTTTGCTTTCAACCAAAAGTCCTAAAACCCGTATTTTATTGCACTGTCGGTATGATGCGTCCATCAGCTGTCTTCAGGGTAATGTGTGTATGAGCTTGTTGGACTATACTGTTTGGGTGGTCTGCCTCTGAGTTTGAGGCGGTATAAGAGGAGTTCAGACTTCTTCGCCGAACATGAAAGCCCTGTTCCGTGTAGGCATTGTTCCACTACGTTTGCCGCTTCTTGTAGCCGTTTTTCTATAGCGCCATCGCTGCCATCACATATCCAGAGGGTAATATCGCCAGCATATATGCTGTGATGAAGCCCGGGAATCATGGGCAGTTTTGAGGGCAAACCGAGGAGAGCTAAGTTGAATAACATAGGAGATATCACGGAGCCCTGCAGAGTTCCTGCACTTCCTATGGGCATCTCAGATGATGTGAGTGCGCCCACTTTGACTACAGCTTGTCGGTTTGTAAGGAATTCGCGAATATAGTTATACGTTCGAGTTTCCGAGATAAGGCGTTAACCTGTTGGAGTATTGTACTGTGTGTAACGTTATCGAATGCTGTCTTAAGTTCTAAACCTAATAGCTTTGGTTGAGCGGGTCGTGGTGTTTATGATTTGGTGCTTCAATTGAAGCATAGTTTCCTGGCATGAAAGGTGCCTTCGGAAACCTGACATAGTGCACGGGAGAATGTAATTGTCTTCAAGGTAATCTGTTAGTCGAGCTAAGAAGGCGTGCTCCATGAGTTTCCCTACGCAGGAAGTTAGAGAGATGGGTCTAAGGTTTAGAATGTTCAGCGGCTTCCCGGTTTGGGAATAAGAATAATCTTGGCAACCTGCCATTGTGGGGGCAAACGTCCTGTGGTCCAGCATGCGTTAATGTAGTCCGTAAGGTGACTAATAGATACATCGTCTAGGTTACGTAGTGTCTTGTTCGTAATGAAGTCGAAACCAGGAGCGGATTTGGTATAAGGCGGTGTAGTACAGCGCGAATCTCTGCTTCCAAAAATTCCTCGTCAAGAGTTGCATTCGTCTGACCGGTATAATCTGGGTGTAGTTGAGGAGGTGCTTGGGAGATATGTATGCTTGCTATCTCTCGCAAGAGTTCCTCCTCTGTACCTGTGTAATCATGGATGAGCTTATTAATATGTTGACAGTGGACTGCTTTGTTGTTCTCAGGGTCTAATAGATGACGGAGAAGGCGCCATGTTTTTCCAAAACCTATTTGCTTGTCCATGGAGTTGCAAATGTCGAGCCACTGTTGCTGGCTTAATTCTTTAGCATATGTTTCGATCTCTTTGTTGAGGAGCGCTATACGTTTCCGAAGGTTCCTCTTTAATTTCGAGGTTTTCCACCTCTTTTGGAGTGGTTGTCTCGCTTCCCACATTTGTAGAAGTCTGCTATCAATCTCCTCAAGGTGCGCTTCTGGGGGCACTGTTTGTGTAGCGTGATCAAAGTTCTGTCTTAAAGTTTTGGTCCACTGTTCAATATCATCAATGGGTGAGACATCATTTTCTTGTGACTTGTGGAACTTGGCCCAGTCGACCAGCTTATATTGTTTTCTTGCTTGTTTGGGAGGGCCCCTTTTGATGTGAATATCGATGATGTAGTGGTTGCTACCTAAAGCCTCTAGTGTGTTACGCCATGTTGTTGTGGGTGCATGTTTGACGAACGTGAGATTTGGTGTAGTGTCCTTGCTAGAACTGTTGCCGGCACGGATAGGCGCGCTTGGATCTGTGATGAGAGTTAAGCCTTCGTGTTGGGTGTCGAGCCAGAGATCGCGACCTTTTGGGTGAGCATAACAATATCACCAAGCTGTATATGGAGCATTAAAATCGCCTCCTATTATAATGGAATTGGAACCAGCGATGTTGAGAACGCTCTTAAAGAGGGTGCCAAACCTGTGTTTTTTGTGTTTAGGGTTACTGTATATGTTAAGTACGAAGA